TGGCCTTGACATCCCTCGCCAGGTTCAATTCCAAGGCTGCCTTGGCTTTCCTTGTTTCCTCCCTGCATACCCTGACAGCGTTCTTATACTCTTCCCAAGCAGCCAGCCCCTTCTTCCGCATATTGTAAACTCCCTTCTTCCACCTGAGCTTTTTCAGAAGGTCCCTGCTCAGCCATGCAGGTCTCCTCCTTCCCTTGCCTGATTTCTTTCTCTTTGGGATGCACTGATCTGAGCTTGGAGGAAGTGACGCTTAAATAGCAGCCAGCTCTCTTGAGCCCCCTTACCCTCTAGAGCCCTCTCCCATGGGATTTGTCCAAGCAATTCCTTGAAGCAATCAAAGTTAGCCCTCCTGAAGTTTAAGGTTTCAACCCTACTTGTCATTTTGTCTGTACTGCACTTAATCCTGAACTCTTATCTTCTCATGATCGCTGCAGCCCAGTCTGCCCCCAACCTTAACATCCTCCACCAGTCCCTCTTTGTTTGTCAGTACCAGGTCCAGTAGTGCACCTCTCCTTGTAGGCTCTTCCACCACCTGAGTCAAAAAGTTGTCATCAATGCACTGGAGGAACTTCCTGGACTGTACATGCCCAGCTGTGTGGCCTTCCCAGCAGATATCAGGGTAGTTGAAGTCCCCCACGAGAATCAAGGCCTGTGATTGTGATTTTTCCCATTCATTAATTTTAAACACCACATTAAACTGCAGCTTTGACTGTACTTTCCAAGTGTGTGCAGAACACGAGCTAAAGCAAGAAACACCAGTTGTGCTTTTGGCTCTATTTTAGAGTGACTTGTGTGGCAGAGGTGAAGAGAGGAGACTGGTGATTGCTAGCACACACACCCCCGCCACCACCCCCCAGTTTAAGCAGCCAGCTTCTGGCACAAACTGGAGGAATTGCAGGATGGTTCTTAGTTTTAGGAACAATGGTTAGGTTTTATTCTGGCAGACAGAGAACTCGGCTCAGCACACATTTTATGTGGATGTTAGAAAAAAATAAGGTATTGTAGAGGGTCAATAAAAATACTTTCAAGATACTTTCCAAAGATACAAAACCCTTACACCCTATTGCTGAAAAATCTTATGTTATCTTTGAACTCCTTGTCCATCTCCTATGTGATGAAGTTGGCCTAGTACACTATCTTAGTATCAAAACAGTATCTTTGTTTTAAATTTCATACTAAAAATGGTCTAGTCCATGTTCTAGATATTCTAGTGATTCAAGTGCCACTGTACACTTTGCAGAAGTTCTTCAGTGAGTTCCACACATTTTTCCACAATATGAACAACTAGGTTTATACAAGAATATTCACATTCACCCTGAGAACTCCTTCTTGGTGCTCTGATGCTTTGGCTTATCTGACTTTTACAGAAAGCAGATGAACTTTTACAGTCTGCCCTGAACAGTGGTTGGTTGTGGCTTTTACTGAACAGGATGTGGAGGCAGTGATTCCCAAGTGTGAAAAAACGTTGTGGCCTATTTAGATCAAGTCTAATAAAATTTAATGCTTCCTCCTCTACCATCAGTTTTAGCGATTCGTGGATAGAGAACACCTTTCCCAGTCAACTTTAGGGACTTTGGTCACAACCTTAAATTGGTTTGGTAGCTGAAATGTAAAGATTAGAAATGGAGATGTAAGGGTGTTTGTTAGTTACTAACGGACAAGTTTTCCCAATGGATTAAGGTATTTTGCTTTAGCATGTAATCTCCTGAGAGAATGACTAGATCCAGGAGAATGGAATATCTGTATTTAGACAAAAGTGGATCTTGTTCTACTAACATTAAAATTGTTGTGTGGTTTGGCCTCAGCTGGCACCAAAGAACCACACAGACCCTCGCTCAACTCCCACAGCCGTGGGCAAAATTGGAAGAAAAAGGCAAAACTCGTGGGTTGAGATAAAGGCAGTTTAAGAGAACAGCAAAGGGAAGAGAAAACAATAACAATAACACCGGTAAAGGAATATACAAACGTGATTACAGTGCTGCCACTCACCGACCGGACCCAGACTGCTGCAGCCCGCCCCAAACTGAAACTTCCTTTCCCCTCCCCTGGCTAGCTCCCCCCTAAAACCTGGGCATGGCTCACATGGGATGGAATACCTGTGTGCCCTGCCGGCTCCTTGGGAAAATTAAGCCCACCCCTGCCGGAACCAGGAAAATTGTCTGTTCAGAGATTTGTAAGTGAAGACAGAACAGATATGCAATCAACTGTAGACCCTACTCAAAGGAAAAAAAAAAAAAATCATTAATTTAGTAGTTAGGCCATTGTAAGAAAGCACACAGACTTGGCATGTAAGTGAGTCATGATTCCCTCCCTAAAATCCATCAACCCTTTAGAATGTCCTTTGTCTTCTCTAACAAACAGTATAGGTCTGCACAGCAGAATGAAGTGCCTTGCAGACATTTCCTTGGTTTAGCCCTGCATGCCTGATTTTGTTAATGGAGCAGCATAATTGGTATTCTGTTTGGAATACTTATCCCTGATTGGAACTGGAGTATGGGGAATGAAGCAATGACTAACTTATTTTTTTAATAGACAACACAATATACACAATAATGTATATCTCTAAGGCCCATGGCACCCATATTTCCAACCCTGTTACTGTTGATTAAGATGAAATTTATTGTCAGATTTTCTGCTGGGTCACATACCTCTTATGACCCTGTTAACAATAAACTTGAAATCAGCAGATTTATTAATTTGTGAAATTACATGTTTATATGTGCATATATTTTAAAAGAAATGAATAAGGACGTGATCTTTCCTAGGATTTCCCGGAGAGAGGTGTGGCTTTGTAGAACGTGTGACATCTGCCTACATTTTATCCATTAAAATGTTCAGCACCTCACTGCAGTGATTCTTATCTTAAAATATTTGTTTTTCCTTTCTTTTGCAACTAAAATAATAACTGAGCCAGCAATTGCGTAACATTATCCATGAATTGGGAACTGCCTGCAGAGGGCATGTACAAAGAGCAAAGGGTTCTGTTGGATTTCCTGGACCTGTAATGAGCTCATGCTGGCAACAAACTCTTGAGCAGCTTCATGCGTTGCTAGATAGATGAATTTGAATCACAGTGAATGGTAAATGACAATGATGAGGCAGCATCAAAGTTTGGTTCAAAGAAGTATGCCTCTTTATCAGCATACAAGATGTGTTTTCTTTTGTGTTGAGTATACTTTATGAGCTTATGTGATGGTAAACAGTGTTATTATTAGTTATGGAAGCTATTCAGACTGTGTCAAAAGATATCAAAGTGTAAATTCAACTAGACTAATAAATAAGGTGAAGAATTCTAGTGCCATCTTGACACTGTTTAGCAATTGTAATTCTGGGATGTGTGCTAGAGCAGTGCTTAACTAAAAGATCTCGCTATGCAGTTTCTTATATCTGATCAATTCCCAGAAATATGCAGATGTATTAACCACACGGTTTTCAAGGTGCCAAATAACGTGAGCATTAATTCAGAAGTATGTTGCTTTCTAGTAACTTACCAAAAAACCAGATTCTTATTGCAAATGTTAGCTGAGCCTAGTGGCTCCAGGAGGACCTGGAGGAGGTCAGCAGCTGCACTTTCAGCTATACAAGCATACAGACCAGCAGCAGGTTCATTCACACCAGCCCCTTTCTCGCCCATCTCTATCTTTTCCCGTGCTTGCTGCACCAGAACACACTTTGATCCTTCTCTTTCTCCACTTTTGGCCTTTGCCCTTAACAACATCCCGTAGTAAGTCTTTAGCAATCCCTAAATTCAGATTAGGGAATTGCAGCCTGAAGCTAAAAACCACTTCGTTTTGATTTCTGAATCTGCTGATCTATGAGTTCTAATGATGCATCATAACGCTTTACTTTAAAATTTATTCTAATTTTGTTAGTTAGTTCGTTCTTACATTGTTTTGCTTTCAACTGCATTCCTGTATTGGCTGAACCCTGAACTGAATTAAAATAGTGTGCTTGAACATAAGCAGAATTTGCTAGCGTTTTGCAGTGCATGTTAGTTGCCTGCTGCCACTGAGTTGATAGCCTAGCTCATGGTGTGTGGAGGTAAGTGTTCTCCTATATTAGTTTGATGTGTCAGTGGCATGTATTTTTGTTATATTCTATTGTCTCCTGAAGCTGTTAGGGTGGATAACAAAAGTTTTTTTTCTTTTAATAATTTTATATCATTAATATTACAGAATCGTAGTCAAACATTTTTTTTCTTTTATAATGACACCAAAGTGCTGGTTTACTTCTGTACAAATTTGCATTCTTTCAGATGTTTCTTCTGTGGTAAGTAGTAGGTGACTCTCTTCTGTGAGCTATGGAGGCACCCATTTGCTGACCTGATGCACTCGCTAGGGAAGTGTGCTGCTTTCTGGGGGCTCATATCGCGGACGTCACCAAAAGACTACCAAACCTCGTGTAGTCCTCTGGCTATTATCTGCTCCTGCTGTTTCACATGGGCACCAGTGATGCAGCCGGGAGCAGCCTGAAGACTATCAGGAAAGATTATAGAGCCCTGGGAGCAGCGGTCAGAGACTCTAGGGCACAGGTAGTTTTTTCATCAGTCTTCCTGGTCAAAGGGAAAGGGAGTGATAGGGCCAGGGGAATCTGGCAAATCAATAAATGACTACAGGACTAGTGCCACAGCCAGGGGTTTGGCTACGTACACTATGGGACTTGCTTTGAGAAACCTGGTCTGCTGGGGCCTGATGGGCTTCAGCTGTCAGACAAGGGGAAGGACATCTTTGGCCAGAAGCTTGCCAAGCTTGTGAAGAGGGCAGTCGCTGGGTGAGGGGAACCACAATCCATCCCACTCCTACCAATATGATGCCAATACCAGTAATAGATGCCCAGAGCCTGGAGAAGGGTTGCAGGTCAGCTGGAGAGCACTTGGAGTGCAGCACAAAGGAAAACGAGCTGCTCCAGCCAGTAAGTAAGCTTAATTGGGGGCCCAATTTAAATGCCTCTATACAAACGCACAATGCATGAGGAATAAACAAGAGGAGTTAGACATGTGCAGGTGCTTGCAGGGCTATGATCTTATTGGCGTCACAGAGACATGGTGGGATGGTTTCTACGACTGGAGTGTCGGGATGGAAGGATACAGGCTCTTAAGGAGGGACAGGCAGGGGAGATTGAGGAGGGGGTGTTGCCCTCTATGTCAAGGACCAGCTGGAGTGCATGGAGCTCTTCCTGGGGATGACTGAGGAGCTGACTAAGAGCTTACGAGTCAAGAATAAAGGGAGAGCACGGACAGGTGATGTTACAGTGGGGGTCTGCTACAGGCCACCTAACCAGGAAGACCAAGTGGATAAGGCCCTCTATAGACCTATAGAATGTGAGCAGCCTCACATTCAGAAGCCCTGGTCCTCATGGGGGCCTTCAACCACTCCAAGATCTGTTGGAAGGACAACACAGCAGGGCATAAGCAGTCCAAGAGGTTCCTGGACTATGTTGATGATAACTTCTTTCTCCCAGTGATAGAGGAGCAAAAAATGAGAGATGCCATGCTGGACTTTGTTCTCACCAACGAGGAGGGGCTTGTGGGGAATGTGAAGCTCAAGGGCAGCCTTGGCTGGAGTGACCATGAGATGATGTAGTTCAAGATCCTTAGGGTGGTGAGGAGGGCGCAGAGTAAGCTTGCTCCCCTGGACTTCAGGAGAGCAGATGTTAGCCTCTTCAGGGTTCTGCTTGGCAGAGCACCATGGGTTAAAGCCCTGGAGGAAAGAGGGGCCCAAGGAAAGTGGCTAATATTCAAGAACCACCTCCTCCAAGCTCAGGAGCGAAGCATTCCGATGAAGAGGAAGTCAGGCAAAAGCTCCAGGAGGCCTGCACGGATAAACAAGGAGCTCCTGGACAATCTCAAAGAGAAAAGGGAAGCCTACAGAGGGTGGAAGCAAGGACAGGTAGCCTGGGAGGAATACAGAGAAATTGTCCAAGCAGCCAGGGATCAGGTTAGGAAAGCAAAGCCCAGATAGAGTTAAATGTGGCTAGGAACATCAAGTGCAACAAGAAAAGCTTCTATAGGCATGTCAGTGACAAAAGGAAAACTAGGGAAAATGGGTGCCCTCTCTGGAAGGAAATGGGAGACCTGGTCACCCAGGACATGGACAAGGCTGAGGTACTCAATGACTTTTTTGCCTTGGTCTTCATTGGCAAGGGATCTAGCCACACCACCTGAGTTGCAGAAGGCAAAGGCAGAATGAGGGAGAACGGGGAACGGCCCACCATAGTAGAAGGCAAGGTTTGAGACCATCTAAGGAAGCTGAAGGTGCACAAGTCCATGGGACTTGATGAGATTCATCTGTGGGTCCTGAGGGAACTGGTGGATGAAGTTGCCGAGAACTGACTGGAAAAGGGAAAATATAACCCTTTTTTAGAAAGGGAAAAAAGGAAGACCTCAGGAACTGGAGGCCAGTCAGTCTCACCTCTGTGCCCAGCAAGATCATGGAGCAGATCCTCCTGGAAACTATGCTAAAGCACACGGAAAATAAGGAGGTTATTGGAGACAGTCAACATGGCTTCACTAAGGGCAAATTGTGTCTGACAATTTTGGCCTTCTACAATGGTGTTACAGCATTGGTGGATAAGGGAAGAGCAAGTGACGTCATCTACCTGGACTTGTGCAAAGCATTTGTCCTGCATGACATCCTTGTCTCTAAATTGGAGAGACACGAATTTGATGGATGGCCCACTTGGTGGATAAGGAATTGGCTAGATGGCTGCACTCAGAGTTGTGGTCATTGGCACAATGTCGAAGTGGTGAGCAGTGACGAGTGGCATTCCTTACGGGTCAGTACTGGAACCAGTATTATTTAACAACTTTGTTGGCAACATGGATAGTGGGACTGAGTGCGCTCTCAGCAAGTTTGCTGACAACGCCAAGCTTTGTGGGGTGGTCAACACGCTGGAGGGAAGGGACACCATCCAGAGAGACCTGGGCAGCCTTGAGAGGCGGGCCCATGAGAACATCATGAAGTTCAACAAGGCCAAGTGCAAGGTCTTGCACGTGGGCCAGGGCAATCCCATGCACAAATACAGGCTGGGCAGAGAACGGGTTGAGAGCAGCACTGAGGAGAAGGACTTGGTGATGTTGGTAGATGAGCTCAACATGACTGGGCAATGTGCGCTTGCAGCCCAGAAGGCCAACCGCATCCTGGGCTGCATCAAAAGAAGTGTGGCCAGCAGGTCAATGGAGGTGATTCTGCCCCTCTACTCTCATGAGACCCCACCTGGCGTACTGCGTCCAGCTCTGGGGCCCCCAACGTAAGAAGGACATCGACCTGTTGGAGCAAGTCCAGAGGGGGCCCACGAAGATGATCAGAGGGCTGGAGCACCTCTCCTATGAAGACAGGCTGAGAGAGTTGAGGTGGCTGAGCCCGGAGAAGAGAAGACTCCGGGGAGACCTTATAGCAGCCTTTCAGTACTTAAAGAGGGCCTATAGAAAAGGTGGAGAGGGACTCTTTATCAGGGAGTATAGTGATAGGACGAGGGGTAATGGTTTTAAACTGAAAGAGGGTAGATTTAGATTAGATATTAGGAAGAAATTCTTTACTCTGAGGGTGGTGGGGCACTGGAACAGGTTCCCGAGAGAGGTTGTGGATACTGCATCCCTGGAGGTGTTCAAGACCAGGCTGGATGGAGCTTTGAGCAACCCGGTCTAGTTGGTAGGTGTCCCTGCCCATGGCATGGAGGGTTGGAGTTAGATGATCTTTAAGGTCCCGTCCAACTGTAACCATTCTATGATTCTACAATTTTAAGCTGTAGACATACCTGTGTGTACATGAAGTGTGTGTGTGTCTTTTAGGCTGTTGGGGTGAAAAAATACTGAGTAATTGAAGAAGTTCAGAAAACTATTTCATCTGATTGGTGATGGTTCGTTGAGCTGTAGTAAGCTTCATGTTTAAAAGCTAAAACAAGATGACTAAATACTTCTGTCTTAATATTTTTGAGAAGTGGAAGGAAAGGGTTTAAGAATATGCACTGAATGGATATGCATGTGTCTACTGTATGTATCAAATGCTATGCATACAAAAACTATTTCTTTACAAATACTAATGCATCAGATGCGTGACTAGTCTTCCCTCCTGCTTCAAAAATCATTTGATTAGGTGTACATGCCTGCTGGAGAGTTGTGCTTTGGTCCAAAGTGGCATTGCTTTATTCAGCTGTGGATAATTAAACTTGAAATAGCAATTCTGATGTTGTGTGGTGCCTCTCAACTGAATTGTCAAAATAACCCATGTTTGGAGAATTATAACAGTAAGAATTAGGCACGAATTTGTTGACTAGTGCTTTTCTGGTACATCTGGGCGTTTCCTGTATTACTTTTTGGCTAAAGAATTGAAGGTGGTCGCTATTTTGACTTTATTTCTGATCTGCAACTTCAAGGGGTTTATAAAGAAATAGTTGTGTGCCAGCTGAAAGGAGCTCTTAGCCTTGACATTTGTCATTCCAGCTTAAATAAAGGGGGCTAGGCGGTAACAGGTTCAAGTAAGTGGATTTGTTATGTTAGTCTTATAGTAGCAGCCCTTCAAGAATGTGTTAAGCAGCAAGGAGCCACTAAGATTTTCGTAGCAAATTTGCAAATGTATCTCAAACTGAACTTGTTGCATTGTTCTGTATGGATCCTTCATTTATGAGATTCTGGATCCTTACAAGATGAGAAACAGACAGATCTGTATCTTGTGTCTGTATCATATGTATCTCTGTTATATACTGATGTATGTTGAAATGATTTCTGGGTCAGATGCTGGGTTTGTGACTCAAACTTTTGCTGGTTTGTGTCCAGATATTTGAACATTAACCTTAATTATGTAACTATCATTTTCTTGCTAAACACAGTTCATACAAAATAAGAAATATTCAGCTGTTAACAGGATTGTCTATACTCTGTGATTTGATTTGCTTTTACTTAAGGTCATGGTTTTATTTCAGAAATGCACTTTTTTAAAAAAATATATTTCAGTGTAAATAGTTGATATATTCTGTGAATCATAATGACATACAGTCAGAACCTACCTCATCTAGAACTGCTGCCTACCTTTTATTTCAGCAATGTAATTTGTCCCTTAAGAATTAAGATGAAGTAGCAAAAGCTAAATTGTTGGTTTATTTAGGTTTCGGTATTTCACAGCATCTTCTTTTTCTCCTCCTATGTTACTCACCTCTCCCCAAGATTCCTGCTTCTTATAGACATGGATCTGTAGAGTGAATTATGCATATATAGGCATCATAAAGGAACAAAGATGATCATAAATAGCTCTTGTAACTTGATAGAGTTTAATACATGAGGGAGGCAATATTTTAAGTCCCTGAAAATGAATTAAATTGTAGTAGCATTAAATGATTTGTGTGTTGTGGTGATGACTGATACATATATTTCTCCACAAGAGGACTGAATCAGTGTGAAAACTCAGTGTTCTTCTGAACTTAATATGAGAAATGTTAAATTGCAGTGAAAGACTAAGAAAGAACCTTTCTAAACCTGAATCCTAGCTCATTACATGAGATTAAGCAAGCTGTTTGCTTTTCTTGGTTTCCGTTTCCTTACCTATAGAACATACCTCTGTCCAGACTAGAAGCATTTCAAGGTCCGTGTTCTTCAGTCTGTGCGTAATGCTTTGATTCTGTGCATCCAACAGACAAATTTAAGTTGAACTACAGTTGCTGTACACTTAACACCTATATAGTAGTGTGGGTGGTTCTGCCCAGGAATGGCAAATCATCTTTCTAAAGTAAGATATATTTTTGGTTAAGTTCAGAACAGAATTTTAGTGTTGTATCCCAGGTATTGAATGGACTCCTCTGATAAAGTCAAATTCTGATTTTAGTTATACTGATCATAATACTGCCTTAAATTCAGCGGTTCTAAACCAGACAAGTGGTACTTTTTAAACCTGTCTGTTCTATAGCAGAGCTCTCTCGATATCT